ATGATTGAAGATGCAAACATGCCCGGGAAGCATAAATCCACCACTACTATCATGTATAAGATAGCACACTTCTAGATATTCGTTGGGGAGAATAATCAGAAATCTCACCTTTCTACCAAAGGCGATAAAACTTTGGCAATCTCTGCCGGGGAGAAAAAACTCTACTAGGGGAGAGAAATCACGTCATCCTGCAAACACATAGCAAACAAAAAGAATGTCTAGGGGTAACATGGCAACATCAGTTACCATTCACGAGACTCGCAAGTTAAGCAATTTCTATTATTTTTAACATGCTCTACAAAGCTTCAATGTTTTCACATGTAATGTCTACCAAAATATCAGAGGTTTTTGCAAACAAATCAGTAAAAGTAAAACCTAAACTAGACAACTTTTGAGTGAAATGAAATTTTATTGATTGAACTGGCCTGTAAATAGGCATTTACATTAGGAAGCAATTTTTAGAAAGAGGTAATTGCGCAAAAGTAAAAAAAGAAAATACACCGGTTGGCAATGTGGAAACAAATTCCCATCAGGTTCTGATTCAGCTATGACTCATATGTCTCCGACATTCTCAAAAACTCTGCCTTTTGAAAAGACTGACTGGACCAATTCCTATCCGTTGAAGTTCCCATGCATCACGATAAGCTCACAAATCGAATGCAGATCGTAGCCTCTTGCTTTCAAATCCCTAACTTCTTCCTGCACTTGGAGAATGTCGTATTGCCTCCTATGTGTCTTTTACAAACATACAAGTACAATAAACAAACAATAAATATTCAAAACATGGATATCCATCCAATATATCAAAATAACAACCAAAGTCACGAAACTAAAGAGATGGATAAATAGAAAATTTTAAATGGCATATGATGAAATGATATGCAAGAAAGGCTAATTGGATAGAGAAAAAATTTAGAAGCACATATAAAAATTTAATGATCAACTTTAATGCATAAATAAAAAAAATAATGAATGATTAATGATATGAAATGTGATGCAATGCAAAAATATAATGGAAATAAATAAATAGCATGATATTTGAAAAAATATTAAATTTAGAAACAATCAATTAACATCGATTAGATGAAAAATTACAAAAGATAAACAAACATATGATTATCCATACCAATTCAATTAACTTTGGTAGAATTTATAAAAACCTAAGAGAAAGGGTATTGGAGAGATTATACAAATAATTGATGATTTAATTTGAAACTTGCTACATAAGAATCTATTAGTTTAACGGAAAAGTTGCAGCAAATTTAAAATCAGATATCAATGCTCATTCAAAGCAAGATGGATCCAGGATCCCTAATTCTCTTTGAATCTTATGGAAAAGTTCAACTGGCAATAGTTTGGTAAAAATATCAGTAAGTAGATTTTTGGTGTCCACATATTCAAAAACTACATCTCTTTTTCCATACAATCTCAAAAAAAATAATGTCTAATCTCAATATGTTTATTGTGCGAATGAAAAACTAGATTTTTGGTAAAATAATCACGCTAGTGCTATCACATATGATTGGAACACAACCCAATTTTAAATCATAGCTCAATAATTATTGCTTTATCCAAATGAATCATGCACAACAATTACCATCTACTACATAATCTACCTTGTGGTAGAAAGTGCAACACTATGTTACTTCTTGCTATTTTGCGAGATCACACAATTTCCAAGAATGTGACATGTGTCTCTAGTGATTTTCCTATATGATTTGCATCCTACAAAACTCGAATTAGATAAGCCTACCCAACTATAGTTACTTCCCTTAGGGAACCTAATACCATGGTTTTAAGTACCAGTTAGATATCTTAAAATACATTTAATGGTCTTAAAGTGTGATTCTCTAGGGAAAATAATTTCCAAAAATGTGACACTACTACCATTCTATTTGGCTTGCACCCCGTGAAATCAAAATTAGAGAATCCTACCAAACTACTTTGACTTCCCTTGGGGAACCAAATACCATAGTTTGAAGAACCACTTAGGTATCTTAAAATACATAATGATCTTAAAGTGCAATTATTTGGGGGAACCTTGAAATATAACGCATATACATAAACAAAACATGAAAATTGCAGTTAAAAAAGCAAAGATTTTGATAATACCTTGATATTTGGTTATGTTAATCTCTTTTCCCATTTCATCTTTGTCAATGAGAATATTTAAAGCCATTAGTGTATATATGAACTTACCACCCTTCATATCATACTTCTTAAAGACTTCTAAAGAATATTTGGTTTGGCTTATATAAGTTTCCTTGTTGGTTTGCTTGATTTAGAGCCCCAAGAATTATGTGAGTTCACTCATTAAGAACATTTCAAACTCACCCTGCATAGTACTATAAAATTCTCTTCACAAAGACTCATTAGTAGAACCAAATATTAGATCATATGCATAAACTTGAACTAAAAGAGCATGCTTTCCCTTATGCTTTATAAATAAAGTAGTGTCTACAGTTCCATGATTAAGTCTTTTTTCCTAGTAAGAAACTAGTAAGGCTTTAATCAAAAAGCTAGAGAACAACGCACTTTAAAAGCTATTAGCAATCATATTTGTTTCCTCACAAACAATCATCACACAAAATCACACATGTTGATAATTATTCATACATAAGATGAAGTTTATGATTTAAGAGAGATGACGTTACTTTTTTCTAAAAATCTCACGTAGGATGTGATCTATGTTATGATTTAAGAATGAGAAAAATATTTATATAGGTGCTTGAGAAATAATACAAACTTAGTGCAAAATGACTTGAATGAGTATACTCAAGGATGATAAATGAATCTACTCAATTGTTGAGATTTGCCTTAAAAATCCATGTCGTGATTCGATTCATGTGAATAGATTCACAATATTTCATGAATCAGGTCACAAAAACAAAATTGCAACATGACGTGAATTTTTAGGCCATGAATCAATTTGTGTGATGGCTTGAATTGGATTACACAAACTGTGACCCTACAAAAAATTGAAAAGGCTTATTTAAACCGTTTCATAGTCTGCCTTGAATCAATTCATGTAAACTAGAAACTTTGATTCGATTAATGAATCTTCTTGAATTGATTCATTTAAGGTTAACTTGGTCAAACCTACATTTTATTCATGAAAATAATATTTTAAGCTTGTGAGTAAGGGGTTTAATGAAGAACCCAATCATACGATAAATTTTACAAACACAAAACATCAAAATAAAAATAAACTGATATTATGCATGTGCAATTTCATTGGATACATTATTTAGCCTTAGAGGGAACCATCACTTCAACAAGTTTTATTTATGGACCCCCTAACTCCAATAAGCCCTCTAACCTTAAAAAAGTTCAAAATTGAGTTCGTATTTTTGCTAGATGACACTAACCAAGCTTTTGAGAACGACAGTCAGGTTTATTACTGTGCCATACTTAGGGAGCGAACACAAATGAATAAGATAATAAGAAAAAGAGATGAGTACCTTAGATGTTTGTAGGATTTTAAGGGTTGAGAAGAAAAAACACCAAAGACCCAGTAGATATCTCGTGACTGGGAATGAAGATGAGTGAGTGCATAAAGATTGTTGGAATATAAAAATTGCAGGGAAGGAAAAATGAGTTATGTCGCTTTAGAATAAAGAAAGGGAAAAGAGTAACTAGTTGCATTCCCTCAATTTATAGGCGTCTGAAAGCACCAAGATCTACGACCAAGAATCAAGGAAATGTCAAAGGCCGCGACTAATGGTATCGATGCATCCTTGATCTCATAACAACACTTGAGTGCACTTAATAACCTTAAGAGTATCACCTCCTTATCCCATGCACCTAGGTTAACGTGGTAGTCCTTTCCGGAGAATCATTTTATGGACGAGATAAGAATTTAATGTGCGTGTTCTCGAGACTATCAATTCCCACTCAACTTCTTAACGAAACATCTTCCTCTCCTCATATAACTTTCCCAATAAAATGGTGTTTCTAGAATGAAACTCCCTTGCAACCGATCACAACACTTATATAGCTTAAATCCTAGCTTCATTTTCTATAGAAAAAACTTGAGAGACAACTGTTATAGATCAATCAAATGGTCAAATAAGACTGGTTCAACTGAGAGGCACAATCCTACAACCGCATCCATTAAAGCAAAAAAACAAATAAGCTCTTGTTAGGGAGCCCAACATTGAAGCAAGGCACCACTCGATCTCAACTACTAAGCTTATCCTACAATTCTATGCAAAAGATGTCACATTCATCAAAAACAGCTCTAACCGTTGTTCATATGTAGGTGTGACTCCATGTCACATAAATGTACGATTTGCAACATACTTACAAGTTCCACCTCACTAATATTACTAACTTGAATATTGAAGTGTTAATAATGCAAATACACTCCTTCTTTATCACCAGAAACATCTATCACCGCGTCGAAAACCTTCACACCGAAATATCATACAAAAACAAAAAGACATTGTATGTGTCATCTAAATTTTGATGTCCAATAATCAATTTAATGTTTGCATCTCCATAGTAATTAATAGTTTTCTTTTGTATCCCTTCCCTATATCATATATAGTAATAAAGAATCTCTCCACCTTTAACAACATGGACGGTCTTAAATTAATCACTTCAATACCTATATCACCTTTCTGACCATGTGGTTTTCTATTGACATTAATTAGAAAAAGAGTCCCAAAACTATGCAAACATACTAGTTACTAAATAGAAAAAAGAGTCCAAAAACCACTATACATTGGAGGCGCACTTCATCGAAAACAGAGAGAATCAAAATCAAAAAGGCTTTCCCACTACTAGCCCACCATTTAACTTCCAACAAGAGATTCAAAAAGCATATTCTATGTGGTGGCCTACACACACGCATCACATATTCTTTGAGCTCTATATAAAGCCCATCATAGAGCTTAAATTTTCACAACTCAAAATTGCATTATAGTATATACTTCTTAATTAGTTCTTATTGCATGCTTTCAAAATCTTAGTTCAAAACTAATACTCTTAATCTCCAAATGGCACAAAACAAATCCATTCTCTCTTTGATTTTTCTTGCACTCATTGTTTTTAACCAAGGGTTCAAGTCCATCGAGGGACGATATCTAAAGTCTAACGAAGTTAACCAAAGCCTCATGAAGAATAATGAGGCTAATAATGATGATACCATTCATGTTAGTATTTCGGTTTCAAATGCATCAACACTCACTACCATGTCTCCACCAAATGTGGTGGTTAATGGTGCTACCGGAGAACCATCTCTTCCTCCTCCTCCCGCTCACGACGTCAACGACTTTAGGCCCACTGCTCCTGGCCATAGCCCCGGTATTGGACACTTCGTTCACAACTAAACCACCAGCTTCACAATATTGCATATGTATATATTATTTTATATTTATGTTTTAATTCCCTGCATGTATCTCAATGATTATGGAAATGAAGAAAAAAAACGTCTAATGAATTATAAATGTGAAGTCTACTATGTTTTATATGTGAATTTTATGCACGTACGCATGTCTTAACATTTCTCATGAAGCATAGAAACATGTACATTTATTATGAAATCTAACATATATATATATATATATATATATATATATATATATATATATATATATATATATATATATATATATATATATATATATATATATATATATATATATATATATATAATATATATATATATATATATATATATATATATATATATATATATATATATATATATATATATATATATATATATATATATATATATATATATATATATATATATATATATATATATATATATATATATATATATATATATATATATATATATAAAAGAAATTCAAACATTTATCTATCCAACCTTAAGGTAGAACAGCCACTATTCCTCCAATAAAAAAAATTATATATCATTCTCATATCTATCGGAGCTTTGAATAGATCACATATTAAGTCTATTTCTCTAAAAGTATGGGAAAAAAAAGGAATTTGTGCAGCAATATCTGTCATAATAGGTCCCAGTCACAGTAGATGAGAAACTATACGAGTTACCTCTAACAAAATTACTCGTATATAGTTTACTTTTTTAAATACTTGAATATTTCCCAATTGTGTACAATAGCTAAAGAATTTCAACTTGTTACGAAGACAAATATTGCATAATGGGTTTTCACTATTTTTTCCATATCCCTGGGTAAATATTCTAATATTGATTCACAATCAATAACATTACATATATATATATATATATATATATATATATATATATATATATATATATAATATATATATATATATATATATATATATATATATATATATATATATATATATATATATATATATATATGTGTGTGTGTGTGTGTGTATGGTATATATATGTGTGTGTGTGTGCGCACGTGTATGCGTGTGTGTGTGTGCGTGCGCGCGCGCGTGTGCGTGCGTGCGTGTGTGTATATATATATATATATATATATATATATATATATATATATATATATATATATATATATATATATATATATATATATATATATATATATATATATATATATATATATATATATATATATATATATATATATATATATATATATATATATATATATATATATATATATATATATATATATATATATTATATTAGAATACTATTTTTATGTGAAAACATAAGAATAAATTTAAACCATTAAATCTTAAAATAAATGATAGAGATTATGTGAGATTTTTTTCTCTCTCCTTTATTATTAAAATAAATTGGTGGAGGAGAGAAAAACACACTTAAATTATTACAATAAAAAGTTGAATAAGCATATTAAATCAATCGATAGAAATTATTTTGAAATATTTATTACAATAAAACGACAATATATAATTTTATTGATTTATTATATGCAATAAAATGTACACAATTAGTTTTGTTTTTTATAGATTTTTTTTATTGTACATAGAAGGAATTATGATTCATGAATTTAATTTCCAATGCATTATTCTAAAAGAAAAAAATATCATCGTAGCTGCAGCGCTAATCAAATTAGTTTAAAGCAGTTTATTTTTTCACCTTATACATTTCTTAAGTATCATGTGGATTTTCAATTATACCTTCAATTTTCGGGGATATATTTTCGAACGCACCATTTATAACTTCAACAAAGACCAATCAGAGTTGCGCCCTATATATTGGGTTTGATTAGCTCCGGAGATGCATCTCTGGAACATTTCCACAGTTATATTTTCGGACAAAAACCACAAAATGAACTTTTCAAACATAAAATGAGCTTTCATTCATAACATAAAATGAGCATTACAATGATAATTTCAATAGAAAATTAAGTACTACATTTCAATATTCCGTTGGACGCTTGCACATCTCCAGGATATCTTCGACTGATCTTCGTAGCTTCGCTTCCAACACGGGCGAAACTTTCTCTTTGAAACTGAAATATGTATCCCACATAACCCTATCACCTGCTCGAGTCTTAAGCTCAAATTTGTTGAACACAATGTTCTCTTCGTTGTCAACTTAGGGTGAACGGTACTCATGCTTAACAACCATTTGTCTGTCTTCGTAAGGTAGAAGATATTTGATTTCGTTTAAGATATCTTCGATGAGAATGAGATCGGTGAGCTTAAACGTCCTCCTGGGTGTTTTATCGCCGGAGTAGGAGACATTTGCGACATACAAACGAATGTTTATTTGTGACATTTGAAATATTTTTTAGTTTGTGTGAAATGTAACACAAGAAAACCTAAATTTATAGAAGACATAGTTCAATATGTTCCACTCACTATCTGTTACACTGGTTCTTGAAGTATATCCTCAGAAACACACCCTATTATCATTTTCTGGGGATGCATCTCCAAAACTTTCCCTGAAGCATTTTCAAAACAAAAGCCAATGACAGAGAGTTCACAAAGAGCAAGTATGAACCAAATATGCATAAAGATCAAATATGAATAAAAAGTGAATATGCAACACTTCAATTATATTGAAACACAATTATATACAATTAGTTGTCTGGTTATACATGAAATCAAAACAAATCGAAACATGTGTTGTCGGCTAAATCTATAGGTCTTACCCCCTTGGACTTTTGTGCATTCAATTTCTTTTCAATGTTATTCAATCTATCGAATTCTTGCATCCTTTCCTTAAAATGATCGGCCACATCTCGTCATTTGCTGTTGAATGAGTCGTTCACTCTGGCGATGTAAGTGGTATGAGGCATTCTGGTTTCAAGTAAACTTGAACAAAATGAATTGATTTTGAAAGTCATTTAATACACATGTTGCGATCATTTGGATTTTGGGGTGGTGCGGTGCACAGTGAAAAAAAAGGTTTCCGAAAACCTGTAGCATGTCAGGCCAATGCACACTCTATCATATGCACATGAAATTAGGTGACCAATTTCCATGAAACTCATCCATTTTGAATTTGATGCCTGACCGCTCAAGCAAGGAACAAGACACTCATAAACGACATCGATTTTATTTTATTTTCGTACAAACGCGTGCACGATTCTTTATGCATCTTCAATTCTTTAATAAGTTAATGACGAACAAGCGCATGACTATCGTCTCCTTTACTAAGTAAAGCTAAAACGACTCGGTAACCGCAATTACCTTCCCCCTCAATATTGACGATACGATCGATATATTTGTGCATAAAAACCAGCATCTCATAAATGAATGGAATCTTCGGTGGAAGCGGTGTCAGAGGTGGTTTGCTAATGCGTGCTCCTTACACAACACTTCTTTTTTGGACTTTAGAGTTGGTGAGTCAGGAAAAACTTTGTCAACATGTTCAAAGTATGAAGGGGACCGTGTAGTCAAGTTGTCATTCGGTGTAGGCTTCATTTTCTTCTGAGCACCTTTTGTTTTTACTGATCGAGAAGGAGGTTTCATGTCGATGGTTTTGGGATAGGCAGTCCACTTCAATTTCTTCGAAAATATCTCTTGTATCGCTTCCCATTCGGTCAAAATAGAGATATTTGATTTACCTACGTCCATGCATCCATTATCGTTGAAACTAAGTCTCTTCCAATGAGAGCAAACATCGTCCATTCTTATTGGTTCACCAAGTTTCATATTTTTAGCAATAACACAAACACATGGAAGACCGTATTTTTTCACAATAGTGCAACCATACTTTACGCTATCGAAGCCTACATTATCATTTCGTTTAGCCTTATGAAAAATATAGTTCAACCCAACCCGAGAAATGTTTCCGACCAAATTATAATAAAGAATGTTGTCTTTAAATTGGTGTTCCAAAACTGTGATGGTCAACTAGATGTTGTTTGTATTTCACTATGTTAGTTTTGAATCATATGGTTCACAGAGTCCAGTCTCGACACAAATCCCTCTTACTATTTCTCAACTAATTTTTCAAAGTAGCATGGGCCGACTCAAATCTATGGTGGTTGTATTTCCAAGGTGTCGAACATTATCAGTTCACGCACAAACTATCTTCTTCTTTACCTGATCAAGAATGATGCTTTCAACATATTTCAACAAAGTAGGATACTTTTCACACGCTTTTCGGAAATGAATGATAGAATCAACATATAATTCTTTTGTGGAAGAATTTATTATACGATTCTATGCATCTATTATATTTTCCACAATCACACCCGACTTCACCAATTTTCCACCTTCGCACTCTACTTGTTTCGTCCCTACCGCGAGTTTAACCTGACTTCTCACATTCTTTGTTATGTGATACTTACAAAATAATGCATAATAAGAAGGAACTACCTTTGTAACCACATTCATCAATACGATATCATGGTCTGTAACAATAGCTTTAGGAATCTCATCTTGGACCTTCAAAAGTGACTGAAACACCTCTAATGCCCAACTAAAGTTGTCTTATTTTTCATACTATAAAAATGTAAATCCAACAGAATATGTCTTTTCAGTTGAGGCAACACCAACCATCTCAAATAATCGAAGTCTATACTTGTTGTCTTGTAGGTAGAATCAAGTATGAGCACCGTCAAAAACGTGTTGAACAACTTTATCGAATCTGAATGAGTCTAAAAAAATATCTCTAACTGCAACTCCGTCGTCGCAAGTTCGATGTTGGGTCACGTAAGTGTTATCGTCCAACACTTAAAACAGTTATTTCATCTCAATTATATCCCACATAATCCTCTTGTTAGTGAGGTACCAAATGTTATACACTTTCTTAATATTTGATATATCATCGGTTTGCTTCCGCTTCAATGTTGCAACTATATTTTTCGGTTGGACAAGATTCAAGGTCATGTCACTAATACATTCCTTCTCTTCCGGCTTGAGCTGACATACACTAGGATGACTGGCTAATTTTAAGCATAATTCATGGTTATGCAAA